CTTTTGGGGACGTCTTGGACCGTTTTGGGGCGCTTTTACGTCGTCTGGCCCTTTCGGAGGCCATCTTGGGGGCCTCTCGCGGCCGCTTTGCGGCTTTCTTGGGGTTCTCATGGGCCATCTTGGACTGTCTTGTGGGCCTCTTTTGGCCGTCTCGGTGCCCTCTCAGGCCGTCTTGGGGCCCCCTTGGGGGCCTCTTGGGCCGCCTTGGGGCCGTCTTGGAGACTGCTTGGGCCGTCATGGCCTTCTGAGAACTGAAAAGGGGGAGAACCCTGAAATCAATCAAAAACAAACGGAACATCAATGATTTCGGCCTCTGGAGGCGTTTTTGGGGATCCTCTTGGGGTCTGTTGGGCCGTTTCGGGGACCTTCTGGGCCCTCTTGGGGCCATCTTAGGGCCAATTTGGGCCGTCTTTGGGCCGTCTTTCGGCCGTCTTGTCCCATCTTGAGGCCCGGGGCTTCTGGGCGGCCTCCTGGGGGGCTCGTGGGAGCCTCTTCGAAGCCTGTTGGGGGCCTCTTGGGGTGTCTTTGGGGCCGCTTCGGGGCCTCTTGGGGCTTTTTGGGGACGTCTTGCGCCGTCTCGGGGTGCTCTTGCGCCGTCTGGCCCCTTCGGAGGCCATCTTGGAGGCCTCTCGCGGCCGCCTTGGGGCTCTCTTGGGCGCCCCTTGGACCGTCTTGGGGGCCCCTTGGACCGTCTTGGGGGCCTCTTTGGGCCGTCTCGGGGCCCTCTTGGGCCGTCTTGGGGCCCCCTTGGAGGCTGCTTCGGCCGTCATGGTCTTCTGAGAGCTGAAAAAGGCGAGGACGCGAAAATCTTTCAAAAACCAACGGAGAATCAATGATTTCGGCATCTGGAGGCGCTCTTTTGGGTCCTCTTGGGGCCCTTTTGGACCGTCTTGGGAGCCTCATGGGCCCTCTTGTGGCCATCTTGGGCTGTCTTGGGGCCGTCTTGGGCCGTCTTGGGCCGTCATGGGCCGTCTTGGGCCGTCTTGGGGCAGTCTTGGGCCATTTTGAGGCCCCCTTGGAGTCTCAACAGGCCCAAGAGGCCGAACTTGTTGATTTTCCATAGGCTTTTTTAGGTTTGGGGCCCCAGAATGAGGGCCTCCACATTCGGTACGGCGCTGTGGCGCAGCTCCAGGGGGAGTTAGGGAAGACATAATGTAACACAACTCAATATGTACCATTATGTAATAATGGGATATATTGTAATTGTGCAATCATTGGATACATAGGATACGTTGCATTAGGGCTTCCACTCCGCTCCGCGACAATATAGTGTGTAGCACTTATGCATTCTGTGGATCGATTGGATACGTTCATCCGCGGACCTGCCTCCGGCAACGGGTCACTTCCGGACGTGGATTCTTGGGCTTACACCACACCGCCGACCCTTTGGGGAACTGGCGCTTGTGGTGTGCTGCTCCTGGAGGCGTCTTGGGCGCCTGTGCGGGGCCTGTTGGTGCACTTTTGGGCGCTCCATGGGGGGCCTCTTGGAGCTCCGTGGAGGCCTCTTCGGGGCCACGTGGGGCCGAGGGCTCGAACCCGCCTCGCACCTGGAACACGACCCCGCGGCAGTGGAACTGCACACGTCCATGGCGGCGCAGCCCGCCGCCCCGCGCGGCGCGGCCGCGAAGGCGCCCTCCCTGCGAGGCGGGCGCGGCGGCGTCCCGAGCACCGCCGCGTCCTCCCCGTCGCCCCGCGCCTCCCGGCGCCCGCGGCTGCGTCCTCCCCGTCGCGTCGGCGGCCGGGACAGGTCGGCTGGGGCCGGCGGGCGTCAGAGGAGGAAGGCGGGTATACCCCATGCCGCTCTTCCTTCACTGGTCTTTCCCCCCTGTTGGGGCCTCCTGGGAGGCCCTCGTCGCCACCGCTGGGTTCGCCTCGAGATTCCGGTCAGAGCGCACGCCAGGAGAGGTTTGGGGAGTAGCGGTATCGGTACCTGGTGCCCGGTGTTGCTAGAAGTGCGCCTGACCCAAGGTGCTCCCAGGATTTCCAGGGAGCCCCCCAGGGCTTCGAACATGAAGCGAATAGCTGGGGGCACCTTGGGCAAGGGACACCTTTTGCAAACCCTGGATTTGGGTTTCCCCAGAGCGGGCAGGCAGGGTGGGCGAGTATCCCGAGAGGGCGAGGGCCGCCACGAGGGCGCGCAGATGTTCGCGGCTCGCGATGCGCAGTCCCTCATCCTCGATCTCCTCGTCCTCTGCCTCTTCTCCCCTTGTGGGCCGAGGCGAGAGTTCTGAGTAGGAAAACGCACTCATGCCGCTAGCCTTCCCTCGATTTCCCTTTTTTGGGCGGAGGCGCTCGTCGCCACCGCTGGATTCGCCTCGAAATCTTGGGCAGAGCGCACCCCAGGAGATGTCCAAGAGCGCGAAGTTGTTCGCGCTTCGCGCTCTACGCAGCGCGAAGCGCGAGCAGAGCTGCCCTTTTGAAGGACGCGTGGGCTGGTTGGCCCAGGCGTTCGTCGTCGTGGAGGGCTCTGGAACGGCCGCGGCGCCCGACACGTCCTCCAGCACCGCGGGATCTCAGCGATCCCCGATTGGCCCCAGTTCGATTTTGTCGCAGTCCTGGCCTCGTCTCGTCGGGGTCTGCGAGAGGCGCCCCTGGCCCAAGGCGCCCCCCCAGCTTTTCGCTCCCTTTGGGAGCGAAGAGCTGGGGCCTCGTGGGGCGCTGGAGCCCCTGGGGCCCTCTGGGGCCTCGTGAGGGGTGCCCTGGAGGCCGCGGGGGCACCCTTGGAAGTCCGGGGGGCACCGTGGGTCCGGCGCACCTCCATAGCAGCACCCGACAGGCGCGATCGGTCGGCGTCGAGTCGGGAAACCCGGCCGAGTCGGAACGTGCGCGCCGGGTCGGGCTGCATCGGCGCGGAGTCGGAGTCGGATCCTCCTCCTCCTCCTCCTCCTCCTCCTCCTGCCAGACTGCTGGGCATCGCCTGGACGTGCGCATTTTTCCCCTGGCGAGGGCCAGCGAGGAGCATCCCGGATCCTCGTGCGAGAGCTGAGCCCACGAAGCCGAGGCATGCACGGGGAACAGGCGCCCGAGCGGTGGCGAGGAGGGGGGCGATGGGAGGGGAGGGGGGAGGCTTCTCAGAGGCCGCCCCGCTTCTAAGAGGGCGCGGGCCCTGTCTGTGGACGTCAGGCGCGCGCGCCTTCTAAGAAGCACCCCATCCTTCCGAGAAGGTCGAAGTCGATTCCTCCTCCTCCTCCTGCTCCTGCTCCTCCTCCTCCTCCTCCTCCTCTTCTTCCTCCTGCTCCTCCTCCTCCTGCTCTTCCTCCTCCTCCTGCTCTTCCTCCTCCTCCTGCTTTTCCTCCTCCTCCTCCTCCCAGTCGCGGCAGCACGGCACGCGAGCCCAGGGGCTCCGATCGCCCCTCTGCCCTCCACGGAGGCCCCCCCCCCCCTCGGCCCTCCGCCCTCCCCCCCCTCCCCTGGGGGCCCTCCGCCCCTCCCGGCCTCCGCTCGAGCCTCGCTCCTCTGCCTGGCATCGCTCGGACGTGCGTGCATTTTTCCTCGGCGAGAAGCATCGAGGACCATCCTGGACCATCGAGCAAAAAAAAACACGCACGAAACCCACAGATGCACGGGAAATGGACGTCCGAGCGACGGCAAGTGTCTGTCCCCTCGACCCCTCTGGCCGAGCGCTCGCTCGGTGACCACCCCCCGTACCCAAGATTTCGAAAGGGGGGGCGGGGGTTAACTGCGATCGGGCGCTCCTGAGCGGAGTGAACCCCCACCACCCTTTCGAAGTCCGCCTCCTCCTCCTGCTTCAACCGCGACCCCGGTACCCATCCTTCTTTAGGATAGGTGACCACCTGGGTCAGGCGTGCACGGGCGCAGTCCTCTCCGGACAATGCTGTACAGCACCACGGCCTGCGGGCAACGGCCCCTGACCCAGGCCAGGGGTGAGGGTGAGAAAAACGAGAGCATCGCAACGGCGCGGGCGGCCCGGGCGGGGGGCGAAGGGGACAGGGGCGGGAGACGGGGGGCGGTCGTCGTGTCGTCGTGGCGCTGGCGTGGTCGCCGTTTCCTCCTCCACATCCTCCTCCTCCTGCTCGGCCTCGACCTGTTCCTCCGCGCCCTCGGCCTCTTCTCGTCCTCCACCCAGCCGCTTCGCCGGAGGTTCGACAACGACAGGGACTCCTGCGACTCGAGCTCCAAGGCGCGGCAGCGCCCCACGCCGTCGTCGATCGCTGATCGTCGATCTTTGGTCGCCGTCGATCCTCACCGTCGATCCTCGATCGTCGATCGTCGTTGATCGTCGTCGTCGTCGTCGTCGTCGTCGTCGTCGTCGTCGTCGATCGTCGTCGATCGTCGTCGTCGTCGTCGTCGTCGTCGATCGTCGTCGTCGTCGTCGATCGTCGTCGGTCGTGGTCGTCGTCGTCGATGTCGTCGATCGTCGTCGTCGTCGATCGTCGATCGTCGTCGTCGTCGTCGTTGTCGTCGTCGATCGTGGTCGATCGTCGTCGAGGTCGCCACTCGTCGATCGCCGTCGCCGTTGATCGTCGTCGATCGTCTGTCGTTTGTTGTCGATCGTCGGCGCCGTCGACCCGCTGTCGTTGCCATCGCCTTCGTTGAAGCGATTTCGTCGTCTTGTTCGCTGCCGCCGCCATCGCCATCGCCGTCGTCGTCGCCGTCGCCGTCGTCGTCGTCGTCGTCGTCGTCGTCGTCGTCGTCGTCGTCGTCGTCGTCGCCAGCGGTCTTTGCCGAGGCCAGATGGGGGTGCAGCGGAAGCGGAGGGGCGGGGAACGGTCGCCAGCCTTGCTTCGAGCCCAGGCATGTCTGTGCGTCGCGAACCATCAGTGACAACGTCGATCTTCTTCGTTGCTGATGCCGTCGCCGTCGCCGTTGCCGCCACCGCCACCGTCGTCGTCGCCGTCGTCGCCGTTGCCTTCGTCGTCGTTGTCGTCGTCGTCGTCGTCGTCGTCGTGTCGTTGCCGTCAAGCGTTGTCGCCGTCGGCGTCGAGGCCGTCGTCATCGTCGTCGTTGTCGCGGTCGGCGTCGCCAACGCCCTCGCCTAGGCTGGAAGGGGCGGCATCGCAGGGGTCAGTAGTGGTCGCCAGCTTCCCTCGGCCCAGAGCTCCAGGCGTCGCGAACAGAGCCAGCGACGGCGACTGGCGTTTTCCTGCAGTGCTGGCCTCGAGGAGGGATGTCTTCGGGGTGTCGCCATGAAGGGATGGCCTCCCGAGGGACGCGGGTCCAAGTCGCGGACCTCCGCGGGCCAGCTCTCCAACTCAAGCAGTTTTGTCCACGGCCTCCGGGCCTGTGGAGGGCCCAAGATCCGAGGCAGGGCGGTAGAGATGGAGATGGTGTTCGGGCCCCTCGGTGCCCAACTGTATACAATCCATATTCACCGCCCGCTGGGGTCCCAGGACGTCGGGCGATGGATGTGGATATGCCCCCGCCTCGCACGAGAGGCCCGACAGCGGCCCAAGCTGCAGACCCCTTCCCGCTGGCACCCGTTTCCCTCACTCCGCAAGGGGGGGCCATGGCCACCCAAGAGCCTCGAGCGGCGGGCGCGGCGAAGGGCCTGCCAGGAGGGGCCGAGAGCTCGCCAGCAGACGCCGCGCAGTGGACGGATCCCAGCTTCGGAGGTCTGGTGTTAAGTCGGGCCTGTCCCTCTACAGGGGGAATATTCAAAAATGGTCAAAAAATAGTCCGGGAACTATTTCTTTAGTATTTTTTGACCGTTTTGGAGTATTTTTGGAGTATTTTTGATTTTCCGTCGAAACCCCCCCGTAGGGGGACACGCCCGACTTAAGTCTGGTGCTTCTCGAAGGGATCGGGGGTGGCCAAGAGGGGGGTGACGACACGGTGGGTGGGTGGATGTCATGGCGGAGGCCATGATCTCTCCCCAGACCGGCGCCCCTTGGGCCGCGAACATGCCGCCGCCCACGATTTGCGCCCCCCCTCTTGGCCGCCCCCCCTCTTGGCCGCCCCCCCTCTTGGCCGCCCCCGAAGGGAGGGCGGGGATGAAGTGGGCGTTGGGATGAGGAGGCCTCTGCAGATCAGTATCGTTTGACCGACCTCCATCTCAGGGCTCGTTTCGATTCGGCCGATTCGATTCAATTCGATTTCGGTGGCTTACGATTCCGATTCGATTCGGCTTGGGATTCCGACTCGGACTCCGCTTTCTCAATGGAGATTCACTGGCCTGCCGATTTCCGCCGATTCGACTTCTCCCGACTCAGCTGCCGTTCTGCCGTTCCGATTCATTTCGATCGCCGATCCGACTTATCAATTCGATTCTGGGCTCTCGTATCCCTGTCCCCGTCCCCATCCCCATCCAGACCCCCACCATCTCAGCACCCCAGGTGGGGTATCACTCGGAGCCCGAAGGGCACGGCCTATAGTCTTCCCCACCTAGGGGGGTCAACCGGCCAGTGGGACCAAGGCCACGCCCGTGAGGATATGGGGTCGGAAAAACCATGCTCAGTTTTCAAGCCTCCTCTAGCACTATGGCGGGTCGTTGTCGTTGTCGTTGTCGTGGTGGTGGAGGTCGTCGTCGAGGTCGTCGTTTTCGGGATGAGGATTGGGGAGGGGCGAGGAGGAGGAGGAGGAGGAGGAGGATCATAGTAAAGAGGAAGAGGAGGAGTCCCTTCCGTCCTCAAGTGCGATCTGCATATCGCGGGGATCATACGATGCATGTTTTACAAGGCAGTTGTTACGGTTTGTTTATGTTGCCTCGATCACTGTTTGGCCTCGACCACGGTTTGGGACTAATGTTCCTATTCCCCAGGGTAAGTACGGCGTATCATTCTGTCATGCTGATGATATTCTCCGCGAGCTCAAGGGCGCAGGCACGTCTCCGCGCATGCATGTGCGCACCCGTGCACGTCTCGAGAAGATACCTGGAGGCGCGAGGGGGCTGCTGCCAGAGAGAGAGAGAGAGAGAGAGATCGAGAGGCGCCTTGCGGGCGGTTGGGGCAGAGCCGCCGTGCGAGGCCTCGCGCGGCAGCTGGTCGCCCGGGAGCTGCGGCTACCCCACGCTGCCCCGGCAGCAGTGGCCGGGCTGGCCCAACTCCTGCGTCCCGCAGGCGCCGGGGGGACCGACGACGGCTCTCCACCGGCGGCGCGCGCGAGGCTTGGCATCGCTCGGGCGTGTGCCTTGCTCTTGGGCAGGACCATCGAGGAGCCTTTGAGGTCCTCTTGCGAGAAGGACGCGCCCGAAATCGAAGCATACGCGGGGGATGGACGTCCCAGCGATGGCGAGCAGAAGGGCCCAAAGGCTCCCGAGAAGGGTTCTCTTGGAAGCCGGGGAGGGCGCAGGGGATGAAGATAGGGACGTCAGGACATGCCACGCCGTGCCCAGCGGCGCGGCGGCGGATGCCTGCATGGGGGGGGCGTAAGCAGGTTGGGATAGGCCCAGTGTCGAGGAGGAGGAGGAGGAGGAGGAGGAGGAGGAGGAGGAGGCGGAGGAGGAGGAGAAGGAGGAGGAGGAGGAGGAGGAGGAGGAGGAGGAGGAGGAGGAGGAGCCGTCTGCCCGCTCGGGGTGCGACGGCCACGCGCGCTGGCCCACGCGCGGGCGGCGGCAGCGAGGCCCGCTATAGAGACCGCCGGGGGGGGGAGGACCCCGCCACATCCCCCGCTGCAACGGCGGTCTCTGGCGGCGGCTGCCCGCGGCGGGCTGCTGCCTGGCGGCGCTGCCCGCCCTGCTGACTCACGAACAACAGGGCCCTGCAGGAGAAGCTCTACGAGAGGAACAAGGCCAGGGTGATCGATTGCGTGTCGAGGCTCGACAAGCCCCATCGCTGATTGAGAAGAAGCAGTCCGAGAATCTGAAGAGCCTGCTGACCACCAAGCTCTACAGTCTCCGCGAAAGCATGGAGTACGTGACCACCAAGGGCACGCCGTTCTACCGCAAGAACGACGCGGCGGGCACGAAGGAGGCCGACCTGTTCCTCCAGGACCTGGCCGACCTCGGCGTGGCGGGCAGGGAGAGGAACTGGGGCTGGGCGACCGAGTCGTGCGAGAAGTCCAACGGCGATTTCTAGGCGTGGATGAACGTGGTGGGGCTCTGAGCCTCCACGGCACGGTGACGGCCGCCTTTCTTCGCGCTTCTGGCGCAGGGAGGAGCAGGAGGAGGCGGTGGAGGAGGTGGAGGAGGAGGTGCAGGAGGCTCTCGACTTTTCCATTTTTGGTCCAGCCTTCCGTGCGGCGCCGCAGCTAATTAGGTGGCTGGCGGGCGCCGCAGCTAGGTGGCCGGTGTCGGCCGTCCATGGAGGAAGCGGAGGCGGTGTTGGAGGTGGCGGGAGGAGATTTGGGGCACCAGGCGGGGATGCACGCCGTTTTGAGCCAGCGTTCGCCGACAGCAGCGGCGGAACCGCAGCATAGTCGCTCGGGTTCTGTTGAAGTCTGGAGGTTCGCGCCGCCCGAGCTCTCCAGACTGAATTCGCGGCCCGTGGCCCGAAAGGGCTGGTGTGGGCGTCGCGCGCGCTTCGTGTGCGGAGTTGCGAGCTCGCCGACAGCAGCGGCGGAGCCGCAGCTTGTGCTGCCGTGCTCAGGTTCTGCTGAAGTCTAGAGGTTCGTCCCATCCGAGCTCTTCAGACGGTATTCGCGGCCCTTGGCCCGCATGGCCTGGCGTGGGCATCGCGCGCGCTTCGTGTGCGGAGCTGCGAAGTCGAGGTGGAGGAGTTTCATAGTGAGGATGATGAGGAGGTGGAGCAGGTGGTGGGGAAGGAGACCGTGGGACCGTGGCCCCATGCTCGATCGAGCACGCGGCCGAGTTCGGCCTGACTGCCAGAATGGCATCAACAGGAGGCAGGCAACGCAGCGATATATCATCGGGGGAGCGAGGATATTACGGCTGCGTTGCTTCGGATCGCTTCTGGCCCTGGAGGGGTTCGGTGGCAGGCGCGGTCGCCGCAGTCTCCCCCTCGAGCCTTGCCATATCCATCTTCACCATCATGACGATCTCCCTTGTCTCCGTCTCCCTATCTCTCGTGCGCTGTTCCGAGCTCGACCACGTGCCACTCAGGTTCGCTTTCTCAGGCCCCATGGACCGCGACTGTTCCCTGTGTATTCCACGGTGTGCCCCAGAGGCAAGGTCGGGTTCGGGGACTTGCTCGACTTTACTGCTTCGGCTACGGTCCCCGTGGATGGGGGGGCGTGGCGTGCTGTCCTGGGGTGCGGGGTGGCTGGGGGCACAAGAGGGTGTAGGTGGGTGGAATAACCCGCTAGTGCCTCCCAGCCGCCCCCTCCCCAGGGATACTAGGCGACCTGCCCTGCCTAGCCACGCCCTCTTGGCGACGGCGCCAGCCTCAACCGCGCCGCCATCTTTCCGCTCGACTCCCTCCCTCTGTCTACGTCATCGTCACATAGGTCGTCCATCCTTGTCCTCTTCCTCCATCCTTTAGCACTGTGCCCGACTTCGCTGTTTCGGCCACGGTCTTCGTGACGCCTGCCCTGCGGCTTCAATTGTCCGAGCGGACGGCGAGGCATTGCCTTCCGACCGCCTGCAGACGCAGGCCCAGCTGACGCTTCGGGTGTGCGTGCCCGGTAGCCTGCCGAAGAAAAAAAAAGGCGGAGGAGGGGCTCGGATGATCCGGCGGTGGGTCGTCGCCGATTCCAGGACGAGTGCTCCCGTTTTTGTTGTGGAAGTTGATTAATGGAGAGGAAGCATGTCGCCAAATCCAGATGTTCAGAACATACCCTGTTGAGCCAGCATCGTGGCGCCAACATGGCAGAGCGGATTTCCTTCGGAAAACGACAGGACGGGCCTGGAGCGTCCTGGAGAATTTCGTTCTGGATTTCGTGGTGAATGTCGTGCGGATCTTTTTGGCCATGAGTGTAACCCCCCCAAAAATATCCGCGCGAAACTCATGTCGTGTTTCACGCGCCGCTTTGGGCAAACATCCGCGCAAAAATCCACGCAGAACTCCGCTGCATCGCGTCTGCAAGGCCGGTGCAATGACCAGTGCCCCCTCGTCCCCCTCTCATTCAGGAGGGGCAGACACACAGACACAATTGATCGTCGATCCCCCAGAAAACATTTGAAAATATGGGAAGTGGGGGGCAGACAAAACCCAGAACATATGGTAAAATATGGGGAATCCTGTTATTAGTGTTGATTTATTTGTTTGTCCCAGGGCCCCTTCGCTCATTTCGGGGGGGGGCCCGTTCCCCCGCTGGACACCGCCTGGCTCGACACGGCCAGGGACCGGACCAGACCGACCAGCGCGGGACATGACCGGTCGGCGCGCCGAAGGGGAAGAGCGAGAGTCAGGAGGGAAACAGCACAGACACAATTCATCGTCGACCCCCAAGAAAGCATGGGAAGATATGGGAAGCGCGGGGGGGAAGACGGCAACCAGAAAATATGGACAAATGTATGGGGAGCCCTGGGATTTGTGTGTGTACGTCTTCGTGTGTCCCAGGGCCCCTTCCGAGAGGGCGTCGGGCCGTTTCAGACGGCGGTGAGGCTTCAGCGGAGAGCTCCTTACCGGGCCGGAGGCCTGCGGAGGGCGCGCCGCCGGACCGAGAAGACGGCCCTTCCTCGACCTCGTGCGCTTTCGACAGGGACTCGGGCCCGCCCGCGCTGCCCCTGATCGGGGTGCCTTTCGATCCTACCGCTCCGAGTCGATGCCGATCCCGGCCGGCCCGATCCGACTCGATTCCGATGTTCGGACGATGCGATGCGGCCTGGTGCTTGCACGGCGCTGTTGTGCGTCCTGGCGCAGCCGATCCGATTCGATTCCGGCTCCGTGCCGACGCAGCCCGCTCGGACGCACATTCCGGTCCGATCTTATTTGCCGATTCGATGCTGGCTGATCCTGCTCCTGGTGGGACAGCTGCGGCCGGCGGGCCGGCGATCTTGCGCTTCCCGCGTCCTACCCTCGCGGCGGCCAAGAGGGTGGACGTCTACGGGGGGTGTGCATACCACGGCTGGGGCCACGATATCTCCCTAAATTTCATGGGTTCGTCTCAGCCACGCGCAGAGGGGGGTAGGGTGAAGTCGGGCCTGTCCCTCTACAGGGGGAATCTTCAAAAATAGTAGAACATTGTTTTTTTTTTTGTTGTGTGTGTGTGTGTGAGTGTGTGTGTGTGTTTGTGACTATTTGAGGGTATTTGTTGAGTACTTTTTCATTATTCGCCCAAAATTCGCCTGTGGGGGGACAGGCCCGACCTAAGGGTAGGGGGAGCAGCCTGCACCTTAGAAGGCGCGGGCCTTCTCCAGAGGTGTCAGGCCCGCGCCTTCCCAGGAGCAGCCTCCTTCTAAGATGCCTTCCCTTAAGTCGGGGCTGTCCTTCTACAGGAGGAATATTCAAAAATAGAAGAAAAAGAGTCTGGGGACTATTTTTGGAGTATTTCTTTTTACCACTCTGGAGCATTTTTTCAGTATTCTTTATTTTTCGTCGAAAAATCCCCCTGTTGGGGGACACGCCCGACTGAAGGCGCCCCCGACCGCTGCGGCCCTCCTCGGCCGCCGCACCTCGCGCGTCCCGCGCCCGTCCCCCGCGGCGGTCACGGAGGTTCGGGGCCGCGCCCCTCCCGGGCTCGGCCGCGCGCGCAGCGGGGGGGTCACATCGGGGGAGGGGGGAAGATTGTCGAGGGCAGCGCCCCGTGCTTCTCAGAGGGCGCGGGCCAGCGCCCTCCGAGAAGCAGGCCTCCCCCCCAAATGACCCCCCCTGCGCGCGCCGCCGACACGGCAGCTGCGGGCCGCGCCCCTCCCAGGTGCCCTCGCTGCGCGACTGGGAGGTGCCGCCCTCCGGGCGCTGCGGCGCCCCGGGCGCGGGCCACGAGAAGGTCCGCCGGGCACGCTCGGAAGGGGTGCCGTCGGACCGCGGTGCAAGATCGGGGCCGGTTCGGGGAGGGTGTCCCGGGGTGCTTGTGTTTGTTGGATGTTCTTGTGCTTCCTGGGGGGAGCGGCAAAGAGGGGGGTGATGACTAGGGGGGGTGGATTTCATGGCGCGGGCCATGGTTTTTCCCCAGATTTCATGGTGCCTCTTCTTATTTCATTGCGTTCCATGCCCCCCCGCTGGGCCGCGCACATGCCGCCGGTCATGATTTGCACCCCCCCCCCTCTTGGACACCCCCCTCTTGGCCGCTCCCGACCCTGGGGGAGGGTACCCTCGACTGCCCCTCTTTTTGGCCGGCGGAGGGCCTCGTGTTCTGGAAGGGCGTTCTCCTGGCCTATAGGGCCGACTGTGCGGAAAGACTGGGGACTACTCGAGTGCGGTAGGTTCGTATCGTGTCGACTCGGCGGCGACCGCATCGCGGGTTGTTGGCGTTGGAACGCCGGCGGGAGTTGGCGACTGAACGCCGCCAGCGGCAATTTGAGTCCAGCACTGAACGATCTGCGCTCTCGGAGAGCCTCAGGAGGGAACAAAAACACACAGACACAATTAATCGTCGATTCCCCAGAAAATATGGAAAAATCTGGGAAGTGGGGGGGGGGGAGACAAGACCCAGAAAATATAGGAAAGCATGGGGAATCCTGTGATTTGTGTGTATTTGTTTGTGTGTCCTTGGGCCCCTTCAGTTCCACGCGGTGTCAGGTACCAACGCCCAGGTCGTCACGATACCAGCCTGCCGTATGGCAGTTCTGACTGCCCAGGGGTTCCTGTGGCGTGGGGTCAGGGTACACGGCTCGGCGGGCTGAAGGGAGGCGTGGAGGGCAAGCGGCGCTGGCAGCAGCGGGAGCGCGAGCGGCTGGAGCCGCCTCCATTCTCCCCGCCGACTGGGGCCCCGAGGAGGCCAGACGGGGCGAGGACCGACGGTCGACCGACAGCAGATCTTGTGCATTTGAGCAGGCCTCACTGTCGGCGTCGCCGCGGGCGTTTCTCCATTTTTTGAGACACGCATCGTCGTCTGCCCAGGGCCCCCGCCGTCGGGGGGCGTGGCGGCTGCTGCGCGCACGCGCCTCCTGGCATCGGATGCAGGATGCCGCCTCGCACCCCCTGGTCCTGACTTTTTCCCGCCTGTTCCCACCTCCTCCACCTCCGCCTCGCACCCCTTGGCCCACCCCCATCTCCCTCCCCGTCCCACACCTGGGGTCGGGAAGCCAGATAGGGCCGAGGAGGCGACAGCCACTGTTGGGCAGCACGTGCTGTTGGGCATCGTACTTTTTTTCCACACCCATGCCGGGTGTGCCAATCCGCGGGAGGGAAGCTGGAGCCAACCTCGGGCCTTCACCGTCTTGAACTGTTTGACGCGGGGATCCTCATCTGTGTGTCGTCTTTCTCGGCGCCTGATGACTTGTCAGGTGTCCGAGTACGGGCGGGTCTGAGTGCAGGTGAGATTCGATCTTGGGTGATTGAGCGCGAATGAATTTGAATGTGGATCATATTGTGAGTGGCTGAGTATGTGACGACCTGAGTACGAGTCGTTCCGAATCTGAGACCCTTTCTAGCACAATCCACCCCACTCTTCAGCATCTCACTTTCACTCTTCATTTCTCCCTCCTGCTTCTCCTGCTGCTGCTCGCTTTCTGCCCATTCCACGCCCCTGCTCGTCGCTCTTTTGATTCCGCCGGCTCTATGCGCTGAGCTGCTCCTGCTCCTGAGGTTCCTGCTGCTGCTGTTCCTCCATTCCTTCTGCAGGAGCAGGAGCAGCAGGAGCCCTCTGTGCCCTCAGCAGCGGCAGGAACCTCAGGAGCAGGAACCCTCAGGAGCAGCAGCAGGAGCCCTCTGTGCCCTCCTGCTCCTGAGGTTCCTTCTGCACTCTTCTGTGCCCTCCCCCCGCAGGCAGCTCCACCCTTCTGCGCTCCACTCCCTGGGCTCCAGACACCCGGCCTGAGTCCGTGACCCCGGACGCCGGACACCAGACTGGACCCCAGACACTCCGAGATCCGATGTCGTGATTTTTTCATGACGCGGTCCCCCGAAGTCTAGGCCTATTCCCCAGGACCGGTTTTTCATACCGAGTTGTTTTTTGACGGTCCTGGGGCCCGGGGAGAGCCCCTAGAGGCCGAAGATTGAGAAAAACCTCCGTCTTGATTTCTTCAATTTGCTGGATCTCTGGGTGGTTCCAGACCCCGGGTCCCGAGTCCGTGGCCCCGGACGCCGGACACCAGACTGGACCCCAGACCCAGACCCCCGACGTAATGATTTTTCATTATATCGACCCCCACAGGTCCCGACCCTTTCCCCATGACCGGCTTTGCATCCTGAGTCGTTTCTTTGACGCTTCCGAGGCCAGGTGAGGGCCCCCAGAGGCCGAAAATTCAGAAAAACCTCCCGTCACGATTTTTCCATCACTCGAGGGGGTCTGGCCTTCGGGGCCTTCCGGGCCTTCCGGACCCTGGGGCCTCCGGGCCCCGGGCGCCGGGCTCCTTTTCCTCCTCCTCCTCCTCCTCCTCCTCCTCCTCCTCCTCCCTCCCTCCCTCCCTCCCTCCCTCCCTCCCTCCCTCCCCTCCCCTCCCCTCCCCTCCCCTCCCCTCCCTCCCTGCCTCCCTCCTCCTCCTCCTCCTCCTCCTCCTCCTGCTCCTGCTCCTCGTCCTCCTCCTCCTCCTCCTCCTCCTCCTCCTTCTCCTCCTTCTCTTCCGTAGCCGTTTTGGCTCAAGCTGCTTTGGTCCCCAACGGAACGCGTGGATATTGCTAGCCCGCGGCATTCTTCAGCGCTTTCAGAGGAACCGCACCCTGCCATCACCTCATCGGTGGCAGTTCGAGCCCTTTTCACGTACCAGTCTCAGACATGGCGCCGCTCCCAGACGTGCTCCGCGGGCCGCGGAAGCCAGTCTGGGGCTGCATGTGCGGGTCGTACCAGAACTGGGCATCGCGCGTCCACTGCTGCTGCGGCCGCAGCGCATCGCAGAGGGTCCTCATCGCCGCCGAGAAGGCCCGTGCCGATTTGGAGAAGGATCGCTCACCAGCGTCTGGATCGCGCCGCAGTGAACGTACATTCATCGCTCCGTAGGCCCAATATACGCTTCCAGCTGCGCTAACACATCGGAAAGCTCCAGAGCCGGCTCAAGGGCCGCAATGACGTGTCTGAACAACTTTCGGAGGAGCAGACTTACGCCTCTGGCGGGGATGCGCCTACGAGAGCCGAGTTGGAGGATACCATACCATCCACTACTTCGAGGAGATTACCCAGGATTCTGTTGCCTCTGCGCAATATAAGCAGGAGACGGCCATGCAGCTCGAGCAGGTACGGGCTCAGGCTGAACGGGCGGGGTCGCCCGAAAATGGCCACCGTCATGCCCAGGACAGGCAGGAACGCTACTGACCACCTCCAGACCCTGGAGGATGAGCAGAAGAAGCTCGAGCGCCAGTATGGGGGCCATTGCCACGCCGACTGCCAATAAGAAGGCGGCTATCAATGCCAAGCGCGTAGAGATTGCGGCGTTGCGCGAAGACTTCTCCTCCGCGGCGAAGGCTGCAGCGCCGCTGGCGGCTCCAGAGTACAGGCTTCCCAAGGATTACGTCCCCGCTGAGGTACTCCAGGTTCTCCATGGGCTTGGCGTGCAAGGCGGCAAGCTCCTCGCGTCCCTTGAGGAGCAGGTCCGCGAAGCGACCGTCGCTCTCCCCGATGAGGCGGACACGCCAGTTCCCGAATATGTTGATGATGGGATGGCTTTGGAATGCGATGGCGACGCTCAGCATCCTGGTGCAGCTGATCCCGCAGCAGTCGTGCCGCTGGAGGCGGCAGTGCCAGCAGGCGCGACGCCGAGCCTGAGCTCGGCCCCGAGGAGCTACGACGGTTTTGCGACATCGCCTGCGCCGATGCCAGTGACGAGGAGAAGTTCGCCAAGCAGTTCAAGGGAGCTTGGGCAGAGCTCCACCATATCAAGAAGCCTCGTCTGTGACTGGATGCAGCCGCTGATGGTCGCCAGTCTACCAGTCCATCGTGGGCAGTCTCGGCCTGTGCCGAGCCCTGGAACAAGCAGTGTTGTACATATTGACTCCTTCAACGCCAACCGTGGCACTCGCGCTTTCAAGATAGGATTAGCGCCTCGTCTGCGCTCGTTATTGTGGCTCAGGAATCCGGTGTCTGACGCTGGCCATGATGACTTCGGTGCTTGGGCAGGTCGCCGAGATTGGCGGTGCGTGGCCAGCCCGGCCCTCGCAGTCAGAGGGGGGCCGCGCCCACCCGAGGGGTGGCCATGCTTGCGCGTGACCATCTCGGATATTGTGGGCCTGACTGTGATGGCCCAGGTGTTCACCGTCGGCGAGAAGTGCATGCTGTTGTGCAGCTCCCTGGGTGGCCAACGCTCCGCATCCTCGTTGAATCTTTGATGGTGGGCCAGGGCATTCGTGGCCACGCTGCGCGCATTCTTGCCGGCGCATGGGGGCGCGTTGCCGATGTCCCCTACAGCGTCCCGGTCGCCGGTGATTGGGGTGCTGCGCCAAGGCAGGTCAAGGGGTCCAACTATGCGCGCGAGGCAGCTCTCGCGTTAGTTGCTCTCCACGCGTGGCGACGCACATCGCGCCGACGGCGCGTCGTGCCATCCTGTTTGCCTGCGGTTGATGTTGTTGCCGAGAGGATTTGGAGTCGGTCAATGTCGACGTGGCCTGGCCCGCTCGTCCTCGCCGCCCGATTGTTTCAGGACTCGCTGCTGATGTGCTCGTGCAGCCGTGCTCGGTCGACTCAGCGGTCTCCAAGCAACCCGCTCAGAGGGCCGCGGGGCCGACCAGACTTGGGCCGCCTTGGGTCTCATCCCAGTACCGCTCGGAGGTTGCGGTCGCGGCGTGCGCCGCAGCTGATGCGCGCGAGGCGTGGTGTATCCCATCCAAGGCGTGGGCGAGTCTCGCGGCCGCGGCTGAGAGTGAAGTTCGGGGCGTGACGGGCATCGTGGCCACTCGCCGTGCCACCTAGGGTGCACTGCTCAAGGCCAGATGGGTTGATTTGTTTCAGAGTCTTGAAGACGCCAGATGTTCAAGCCATTGCAGGCAGTGGCTTGATCATGCCATTGAGACATTGGCCCGTATTCTCAGTCGCCAGGAGACTCCGTTGACATGTTTGGAGGCCCAAGTCGAGTCGGTCACGGCAATGGACTGCTGTGGGAAAGGGCATGCGTGGCCGCCTCGACACAGCTGTCCATGAGGGAAGAGCTGCTGTCGGTCGGGCCATCGTCACTGCTGCAGGTGTGCCAGATAGAGTGCAGCCCTCTGCCCCTCGACGTGATGTGCCGCCGCCCGCAGCTGCCGCGTCCCGCGCTATGGTTGGCCCTGGCGGCGCTGATTTATTCGCTGACCTGGATCGCGCTCGGCGGTGAGGGAGAGCAGGGTGGCGCGGCGTCGCCGCCTGTTGCCGCGCGCGCCCCGACGGGGCACCCCCAAGCCAAGGCTGCCGAGGACCATTCTGCTGCCATTCTGCGAAGGCTGAGGCCCCGCTCGCCCCCGCGCGACCCTCGGCGCAAGCTGCCGGGCCTTGCCTCGCGGGCTCGAGCATTGGCCCCCCCTTCTGGGTCTAGGGGGTCGCTGGAGGGAGGGCTCGGTGGCTGCTCGGCGACGCCTGCGAGCATGGCGCCGTCGTCTTCTTCTTCATGGGAGGCCGGGCATCTGGCCAGACAAGGTTTCTGCAGGGCTACGCGCTGACTGTCATCGAGCTGCAGAGGCATTGCAGCAGCTGCGTGGTGATATCTCTGCTGGTGTCCAAGCTAGTGGTCGGGCTGGCGCCCGAGACGACCGACGGCGCTGGCAGGGCCGGTGCGTCCTCGCCGCCGCTAATGGCAGCAGAGGCCATCGTCGCACCACGCGTTTGCCTGATGCCCCGCGCCCTACAGTTGTTCGCATGGAAAGTGGCGTGCTCTGGCAAGCTAGCCAGACGCGCGGCCGCCCGCGGCTGCCCGACCATGGTGCCGTGCCACTAGTGGACGCTGCCAATGTACGCTTCGTGGTAAGCAGCTTCTTCTCGCGCCGCGACTGCAAGTGCTGGCCGAGTCCACCCTCGCCACTTCGCGGCAGCTCTGTTCGAGACGCGTGGGCGCCCCGGGCTACTTCCACGCCTTCTTTGTTTTATTGTCTTGCCGATGTTGGCCAAATCTGATCAAAGGCACCGGCATGTGCTGGGATGGCTGGGATGTGCTGGGCATGGCATCGTTTGCGTCGTTGTAGCATCGCGGACATGCGCCGACGCGTGGTCAGGCCTTACTGGGGCGCAGTGGCTGGTCGCAGTGCACTCGGTCTGTCGTGGGCCTCGGCAGCGCGCGGCGAGGCGGCCGCGGACGTCGAGCAGTGCAGTGTGCTCCTTCCTGCTCACGGATCACAGCATGTTTTACGCGGGCATTCCACTGGCAGGTCTCCCCGACATGATGCTGGCATGTGGGGTGCCGGTGCCCGTGGTGAAGGTAGTGTACAACATGTGGCAGTCTCCGCGTATCATGCGCCTTGGATTATACTGCGGTGGGTTTGTTGTTTGCTCTCTGCGGTCTCCCAGCAGGTTGTGCATGTGCTGATGTGGCGGCGAGGGCGTTCGCGATCACCGAGTGCGACAGTTTCCTCCTCTTCGGCCCAGGCGTCGACTTCGTGGACTGCGCGGACGACGCTGGGGTCCGCGTGGCAAGTCGGGCCCCCTGGGTCGTGGCAGGAATGGTTGCCCAGGCTGGTCGTGGTTTAGAGGCGTCGCGTCGATTGTATGCCAAGCTCAATGACAAGTCTGCAGTTGTGTCCAACGGCCAGGAGCTTGTCGATGAGGTTGTCAAGCGCATCGGTCTTGACCGCAAGAAACTGCGTACTTCGGTCGCACCTCGGCGCGGACTTCGCTGCCAGTCTCCGCCGTGCTTTCCCAAGTGGTGGAGCGAAGCGCCAGCTTCGTCGCAAGGGCCACCGGCGGCTTGCGATGGTTGCGATGCTCAGGTCCATGAGGCAGGCGGATGCTCGACTTGGCAAGGTCCTCGGCGCGGGCGTCAAAGCAGGATCGCAGTGTGGTGCTGAAGTCAACCGCTTCGATGACTCGGAGCTCGCGGCACTCCGGGGGCAGGCGTGCTCTTAACCTGTCCCCCGCGGCCCGGGGAGCTAGCGCGATGGCGAAGCTCGTTGGATGGCGAGCCCATTATCCGTGAGGCCATGGCCCCAGCGTTGCAATGTCGCAACATGATCTGGGAAGCTGTTGCGTTTTGTCCCGCGGCCTCAGTGTGTTCGGCTGAGCTCCAGCGGCTTCGGCGCCGAGTTTCCCCGGGGGTCCCGCGGGCCAGCCTTGGGCCTCCACGATGGGGCCCTGTCGCGCGCTTCCTGCCCTGCCTCGCCCGCGTGGGCTGGGTTGTCGCGTCGGCCGCCGCGTGGAGGAACCGTGGTGAAACTGAGATCCAGATTCCTGGTTCCGCCAGCCATGCTGCATCATATGATTTCGGAGGCGTTCCAGGCTGCTCGTGAAGAGGCTTCCGGGGAGCAGATGGGGTCGTCGAAGGAGGTCGGGTGAGCCTGGTTGCTTTTCAAGCCGCGCCTCGAGGCGATAAGTTTACGCAGTATCAGAGAGATGTCGTCTGCGCTGTAGTGCGCGGCCGCCTCTGGGCAGACTGCCATGCCCATGGTCGCGGATGTCGTGCCGAGCGCGCGGGTAAGCGTGCTTGTGGACGCGTGGGCACCGTGCACCACGGATTGTGCGCGTGAGCGTCGCCTGATGCAGTCAATGCCCGCCCGTGGCTGCGTTTCAATTTCCCCAGTCCCAGCCCGTCGCGCAGGTCCTCACAGGTATGGGGGAATTCATGCCAGACCTCGAGCCAACGGCTGCCGTGCAGTGTGCTGGCAGCGCTTCGCGATTGCACCGCGTAGTTGATGGCAGCAGCACGATGCCGCTGATTTTTCTAATTCGCATGCGTCGTATCCAGTAGTTTTGTTCGAGCCCGCGGACGAGGCCACCCTTGCCGTGGTGCGCGGCACATTCCTTGGCGGTTTACCACAGCCGCCTGTGATGGCAGAACATGTCTCGATCGAAGTTGGATGTCAACCGCTGATTGTGAGGCGGCGATTTCTCAGCCCCCTCCTCTTTGGGCATGAGTAGTTGCGTGCCAAGAAGGTTTCCAACGAATTTTCCAGCGTTCTCCCGAATGCCCGAGGTTTTTGGCTACGTGGAAACCGTTGGTTACGTGGAATCCGTTAGCCATGTGAAAGCTCACAGGAACGCGAAGATAATCGATACTCTTCCGCCTCAGCAGCGAGTGCCAGCGCGAGGTAACAGGGCGGGTTACCTTCATGCGAAGGAGGCCCTTGGTATACACGCCCGGGTTGGTCCAGAGACGGCCACTTGGCCAGAGGCCGATATCAATAATATGCCCAATTTTGTCCGATTGGCTGCAGTCATCCTGTCCGCGAAGGTCGGGAGCGGAAGGGGCGCCCCGTTGCCAGTCACCGTTCGGTCGGAATGGACCCAGGGTGGCATGAGTGGGAGGACTGGCACCCAGTGCAAGCGGTGTTTGGTTTTGGATCCTGACTGTCCTGGCCAAGACTCCCTGGGGTGCTCAGGGGCCCCTTCTTTCCTTCGTAGTGTCGTCCGCCGTTCCCTGGGGCCCCAGATTGTTGGGGTGGCTTCCCAAAAAATCCCCCCAAAGCGCCGAGTAGGAACCGACACAGAAAGTCAGCGTTACAATGTTTGTGTGTTCGTTGCGGGTGCTGGGCGCAGCGTTGTGCCAGGAACCTCGGGCGCCTTTGCGGCAGGCCCACGGGTAAGGGTGTCGAGGTTCTGCGCAAATGCCCGCGGCCTGGGGCCGAACAGCAAAGTTCGGCAGACAATTGACCGTGATGCTTGTCTCAGAGCCTTGTCTGTCCAGCCCAAGGCCCGAATGGCCACCCGTCTGTGTACTGTTGTTCCGTCGACCTTCTCCGACGATTGCGTTGTTCCTGGGCACGAACAGCGAATGGCCGCATTCCGTGAGCGAATCCGCGCACGTGAGGATCGTGCGGCCGAGGACTGTTGGTGCCCTGCCGCGGCTGAGGGCGGAGTCTCGGGAGCTTCGTCCCTGCGTTGCAACTCCTTCTGAGGGGCACCGCTACCGTTTCAGATTTGCGAGTTTCCCCCCTTCCGAGGTCTGTCTCGCCTCCCTCCCTCCCTCCCTCCTTCCCTCCCGCTTCTCCTCCTCCTCCTCCGCCTCCTCCTCCTCCGCCTCCTCCCTCTCCCCCTCCTCCCTCTCCTCCCTCCTCTCCCCCTCCTCCCTCCTCCTTCCTCTGCTCGTCCTTTTCCTGTTCCCGCTCTTGCTTCTCCTTCCTCTGGCGGCCCCCCTCCAGCTCCCCCGGCAGCTCCCCCGGCGGAGGTCGACGAGTGGGGGCGGCCGGGCAGCCCCGTCCACGGGGCGCCTCGCGGGCCAGTCGAAAACCGGGCGGGCCGGCGCAAAGGGAGGTTGCAGTTGCACAAGGGAGGGAGAGAGGTTGCAGGAGGGGGGGAGGGGGATGGGGGAGGCGGAGGAGCGCGGCCGAGGAGGAGGAGGAGGAGGAGGAGGAGGAGGAGGAGGAGGAGGAGGAGGAGGAGGAGGCCTGGCGCAGGAGCAGCACCTCCGCCAGCAGCCCCAGGCCCAGCGCCTCCTTGCACACGTCGGTGAGCGCCTGCAGCGCCCCGTCCGCGGCCGCGACCGCCTCCGCCAGGGGCTGCCTTGGCCTTGGCCTTGCCCTTGGCCTTAGCCTTGGCCTTAGCCTTGCCCTTCGCCTTAGGAGGCATCGGGCTCGAGCGTCGCGAGCGCCACGAGCTGGGCACCGAGGTGGCGAGCCTGCTCCAGCAACAGCGCCCGCTCGCGCGGCGCTAGCCGCCCCTCGCGCGCCGCCTGCCTGGCGAGCGCGAGCAAGTAGCACAGCTCGCACACCTCCAGCAGCCCTCCAGCCTCCGCCAAGGCGAGACTCTCGCCGGGGGCGAGCCGCCCCTCGCACCAGCCGCAGATCCGAGGCCGCTGGGCCTGCAGTGCGGCGGGGGCGCGAGCGCGCGATCCCCCAGGAAGCATGCCCTCCTCGAGGGCCCCCAGGAGCCCTCGAAAGTGGCGACAGTTTCACATATCGCAGCCCCCCTGGGATGGCGATGTCTCGTTCGGGTCTGCGTGGGACCCCACTGTGCTGCCACCCCCAGCAGGCATGCGAGAGGGGGACAGAGCCGAGAAGAACCGGGGAGGGGGGGGAGGAGAAGGAAGGGGGGCCAGCACAGTGGGGTCCCACCCAGACCCACATGCCATCCCTGGGGCGCTGCGAAATTTGCAATGGTCGCCACTCTTGGGGTCCCACGCGGACCCCAACCGAGGAGGAGGAGGAGGAGGAGGGAGGAGGAGGAGGAGGAGGGAGGAGGAGGAGGAGGAGGAGGAGGAGGAGGAGGAGGAGGAGGAGGAGGAGGAGGAGGAGGAGGAGGAGGAGGAGGAGGAGGATGAGGAGGAGGCCAGAGGAGGAGGATGATGATGATGATGAGGAGGAGGAGGAGGAGGAGGAGGAGGAGGAGGATGAGGCAGAGGAGGAGGAGGAGGAGGAGGAGGAGGAGGAGGAGGAGGAGGAGGAGGAGGAGGAGGAGGAGGAGGATCCGTAACCATTTTGGCTCAAGTCCGTAGAGTTTCTCTGGCTCAGGACTTGACCTCACTGGCGAGGGGGATTTGCGGCCCCCACCGTCCACTTGCACTGCACTGTGCAAGCTCCCCTTTTTGTGAGCTCCTGTTGGAGCACCTTTGCTGGTTCTAGCTTTCATGGGAGGTACCAGTCGCGGCGGCGGCGATGTCTGGTGTTGTCCCAAGAAGAAGTGCGGTTTCAAGAACAATTTTGTGTTCAAGAAGTGTTGCTACATTTGCGGTGCTGAGCGTCCTCCTGTTCCTGCTACTCGCCCAGCCCCGCCCCCGCAGGGGGACTGGGCTCACGGGCCACCGCGGCAGAAGGACGCCAAGCCCAAGATTCCGCTGCTCGATTCCACTCAGCTTTCCGTGTTCGTCAAGATGTCCGATGCGGACTTCGAGACCTCCAAGTCGCTCCTGGGCCCTTCGCAGCGGGCCAGGGTATTGGCCCAGAGGGCCTTGGCGGCGGGGGACCCCAAGGCGGTCGCCAAGCATGCCCAGATGGCCTACGATGAGGCTAAGCGGGAGGCATTGCAAGTGCAGCAGAAGGTCGACAAGCTCGAGGGTCACGTGCAGGAGAAGTTTTTGGAGCTCGTGGCGCTCAAGGCCAAGCTCGAGCAGGTCCAGGCGCACGAGCTCGCGTGTGCGGCCAAGGCCACTGCGGCCTGGGCTGCTGCCAGCAGCGGTCCTGTACGGACTCGGCCTCCTGGCGGCGATCGCGCAGAAGTTCAGCCCGATGATCCTGCATTCGCTTTGTTGCTGCAGCTCGAGGCCATGGACAAGAGTCTTGCGTGCTCGCTTCGCCCTCTTCTTGCCACTCGTGATGGCATGCTTCGCCCCGCGGGCGATGGCAGTGAGGAGGCCGACAGTGACAGTGACGACGGCATGCGCGACGTTCCTGTTTCCGAGCCGCAGTCCCTTGACGCTGCTGCCGCCGCCACAGCCGTCTTTGGAGGAGACGCGCTCGGCGCAGCAGGGTCGCCCTTCGCGCCAGGCGCTGTGCCTGCCACCCTTGTGCCGTCTGGTGGGGGGACGGCGACGGGGGGTGTTGGGAAAAGCGACTCGGCACATGGAGCGGTTGGCTGCCAGCATGCTTCAGCTCATTTCTCATCCTTTCTGCAGCGTCTCACCACCGATGAAGGACGGGACAAATTCTTGCAGTCCAAAGGGCTTGTCTCGCAAGCAGTGTGACAACATCGTCGGTGGGCTCAATGATGCTGCGCAGAAGAAGTTTAAGTGCACTCCGTTCGACGACCCGATCGGTACCCTTGCCGCTGCGGCACATAGGCCTTCTGTTTAGCAGGAAGGCGCAGAAGGTTTGGACGATCATCACCGCCAACGTTGGTGGGCAAGTCGACCTCGACGCGTACCTGTCGGAGTCCATCTACAGTGATGCCCTTTTGATGCAGGAGTCCCGCATGTTGCCCGCTGTCTCTCAGGCTCTTGAGTCCAAGATGCGTGCTGCGGGGTGGTCGGCTTCTGCTACGGCTGCGCTTCCCACAGCTGGCAATCCGTCTGGTGGGCGGGTTGCGGCTTCAGTTGCTCGTGTGGGGATTGCGCCGCTCAAGAATTACGACAGTCAGATTGCGGCCGCTCGTGCAGCGGCTTTGCATGTGGGTGGTATGTTGCGTGGCGGCTTCCTCATTGTTAACTTGTACCTAGTGCACTCCGTGGGCACTGACGAGCAGAACTGGGCGATTCTGTCGCGTGTGGGAGCTCGGCTCAAGGCTGCGGGCATGCCCTTCGTTGTTGGTGGTGATTGGAATTGCACTCCAAGTGATTTGGTCAAGACGTCTTGGGTGGACGCTCTCGACGCAGTCATCGTTGCGCCCGCTGAGGGTACGTGCAGGCCCGCCATGCGATGCATCGACTACTTCGTGGTCTCGCGCCAGATTGCAGGTCAGGCCAGGGCTGAAGTTGTTCAGAACGTCCCCATCTCTCCCCACCTCCCTGTTCGGCTGGTCTTCCCGTCTGTCGAGCCCCTGTGCAACGTTCGTTTCGTGCAGGTCCCTAAGAGGTTCCCCACCGAGTTGCCCATTGGGTGTCTTGGGCCCCCCCTCCTGAGGTCGACCCCTGGGACCGCGTCGGGGAGCTCTGTTCGGACCCTGAGCTCCGGATCCAGGATAAGTGGGACGCGTTTCTCAGGGCTGCCGAAGGTCAGTGGCTGTATTTGTTTCAGATTTCTGGAGGCCAGTGCGACGAGTATGTTGGGAGGGACAGGCCGATCCAGGTTAAGTGGAAAACTCCGTCTGCCCCCAACCCGCCCAGGTTTCCTAAGTTGTCCCCTCTCGCCTGTTGGTGGCGCAAGGTCCAGAGTGTGCTGGCCGATCTCAGTAGGTCGCCAGCTGGCGCCCAATGGTCGCAGATCGTCGCAGCTGCTAGGCGTCCTTCTCGCTTTCACCGTCCACCTGAGACGGCAGAGGTCGCCGCTTGGACGGCGATGCTGGGGCAGGTGCTATTCCTCCCGATGGAGTCGGCGCGGTGCCTCGCCGACATCGCGAGCTGCGAGGCGACGAGGCTCCAGCAGGCCTGCGCTCAGGCCAAGGAACGTGAATGGGGGAATTGGGTTGACAAGCACTCGTCTGGGGGCATGTCTGCGTTGTACAAGTTTTCGGCCCTCCCCACCCCTTTTCAGCCTGCCTCCCTCTGTCATGGCACCCTTCGGCCCTGCACGTCGCGCGAGTCGATAGACTCGAAGAAGAATGGAAGCGTTGGTGGCAAGTCGGAGTTGAGCACCAGCCCCTCAATTGGCCTGAGCTCGGGGGCCCCCTTCCGCGGCCCACTGTGGCCGAGCTCGTGCGAGCTCTCAAGTCTTTCAAGCCCTCGACGGGCACGGGGTTTGATCGGATCTCCCCGCGCTCTCTTCTGCTGTTGCCGCCTGTTGCTCTCGAGGCTCTGTGTGATATTGTGCACCACATTGAGCATAAGCGTGAGTTGCCCAGCATGTGGAACCGCATCGTTTTCATTCTCAAGGGGACGGGTGGTGTCAGGCCGTTGGGGCTCTTGCACGTGTTGGCCAGGGTTCAGTGTCGCCTGAGACGTCCTCTCATCAGGAAGTGGCAGGCCGCCAACTTCAGAGCTTTCTTTTGGAGTACCCATGGTAAGGCTTCTGAAAAATGCGTTTGGATCCATGCGGCCTGGTCGGAGCATTCCACCTACAAGGACCGTGCGTGTGCCACCCTTTTGCTCGATTTAAAAAAGGCGTTTGAGTTGGTTCAGCATCATCATTTGTTGGCCGCTGCGGCGGCCACTAGCTTTCCATTGTGGCAATTGTATCTCTTGGTCCAAATCTACCGCGCTCCGCGCATTCTCGATGTTGGGGGTGCTGTTGGGTCCTTGCTTTGTGTTGAGCAAACGATTGTGCCTGGATGTACTTTTGCCACTTGTATGCTGCAGTTGATTCTCTTAGGCCCTTTGGACGCCGTGCAGGCCGCCTGCCCCGCTGTGCAGCTGTCCGTCAACGTTGACGATTTTGGCCTCATGCGCTGGGGCACCGAGTCCCGCGTTGTCGGTGACATCACCGCCGCATGCCAGCACCTGCTGCAGCAGCTGCGCCAGGTCGACTTAAAGTTCGCTCTCGACAAGTCTCGCGTTTTGAGCAATTTCCCTACGGTTCGCGCTTCCATTGCAGCCAAGTTGAAGAGCCTTCAACCCCTGCCCGTCAGGCCTGAGCGTAATCTCGGCGTTGACTACGGCTCGGGCAAGGTTGCTAGTCGAGGCACGGTCCGTGGGCGTGCCGCTTGTATGAGGCCTCGGTTGGTCCGAATGGGTTTCCTCAAGGGCACCAAGCCTCGTCGCCGCGTGCTCGGGCGCATGGCCCGAGCCGCTCTTGAGTCTTCGGTCCTTTTCGGAGCGTCCGTTATGGGTACCAATGGGCAGGAGTTGGAGGTTCTTCGAGGTGCGGCTGGCAAGCTGCAGGACCACCGTCAGGATGGCAAGCCTCGGACTTTGAGCCTTCTGCTCTCCCCTGTTCCCCGATTGGACCCCATCTTTAGAGCCACTTGGTTGCCCGTCAAGTTCTACCTCCATGCGCTCTGGCATCGTTGGCTGCCCCATGAGGCTGGATTTCGGGCTTCGTGAGGCCCGCGGGCACCTTTCTAGGCTGGAGCACCCGTGGTCCTCCATTAGGGGCCCCTTTTGCGCCCTGTGGGCCTCGCTCAGGCGTGTGGGTATCGTTGCTACTTCGTCCGCGTCCTGGATCTGGCCTGATGGGGCCGACGTCAACCCGATGAGCTATTGCCCGGTCACTGTTCAGGAGCTCGTGTTTCGTGCTGTGGAGGCGTGGCAGTATTGTAAGGTCGCGGAACATCTCGGGGTTGACGACTTCGCCAACGGGCTGATCTTGGGACCCCTGAAGGCCCTCCTTGGCAGCAAGAGTAAGTTGTCGGCCCAGCAGCAGGGCCACCTCCGCAGCGCGATCATTGGAGGGCAGTGGCTTCAGAAGAGGCAGTGGGCCGCGGGTTACGACACGACTCCCTCATGTCTGCTCTGCCCCACGCAGGAGGGGGCTCTGCTGCATGGGCACTGCTCTTGCTCTCGCTTGGACTGCCTCGAGGGCAAGCCCAGCTTTTTAGCTGCAGCAGAGGCTGCTGCCGCTACGTCAGTGCTGGCGTCGCTCCTCGCCGAGCGTTGTCTTGTTCCTTTCCCTTCTCTGAGCCGCCGCCCTCCTGGGTCTCCGATTTGTTAGGGGCTCGGAGGGCCCTCGGAGTTCACGGGGGATATTTACACTGATGTCTCTGTTTTCGAGGCTCAGTATCCCAGTCTGGCCAGTGCGGGCTTGGGGTGCGTTGCATTGCATCAGGGCCGTCTAGAAATTGTCTCGTTTTGTTCAGGGCCGCTCTTGGACCCACTGCAGTGCATCAATGCTGCCGAGCTTGTTGCTGTCATCAATGTTCTGCGCTTCGCGACTCCGCCAGTGCATGTTGATACGGACTCTGCTTTTGTGGCTGATGGTTTTCATGTGCGTGGCCCAGAGGCTACCCGTGCCTGCGTCTCTGCGCGCGCTCATCTCTGGAAGGAGTTCTGGAGGCTTGTGGATGACTGGGGCGGGGGGATTGAGATCAGCAAAATAAAGGGTCATGCGACCCAGGTTGATGTGCAGGCAGGGCGTGGAACCTCTGCGCGTCACCGATGCGGCAGTGCCAAGGCAGACGAGGCTGCCAAGAGCGCTGCTTCCTTTGCCAGGGTTCCAGAGGCGGCCGTCGCACAGCTACAGGCCAGATGCGAAGTCTTGCATGTCTGGGGCTCCTGGATTGCGCTTCTTTCCGAGGGGCTCGCGGACTGCGGACACCCCAAGAAGCATGCTCGTGGTTTGCCCCCAGTGCCCCGCTTGGTTCTCGTCAAGGATCCCGTGGCCACCGATCCGGTCAGTCGTGTTCTTGTCGCGCAGGCGAGCTGCTCGGGTAAGGTGCATGCCCTTGCTAAGTTCCAGCTTTCAGGTGGACCACTTGTGGTCGGCTGCACGCGTTGCGCGTGCTTTGCAGTGACGAGGCTTTCTGGTTTAGCGTGCCCGTGCCCACCCGAGGTCACTGACCGCGCTCGCAAGACGTTGAAGAGGCTTGCGAAAGGCGAATTCAGACTCAGTGGCAAAGTCTATCGAGTTCAGTCCTTGATCAGGCTCCCTGTCCTGGCGGCCACGGCGGGTGTCTAGGTTTTCTACGCCCGTGGGTCTTCGCCTGGTCGAGGGAGCCGTGTCCGCCAGTGGGGCCGAAGGCGGTTGCAAGGTGCGCCTTCGGCCCTGCTTTCACTGCTGGAGGTGGACAGACTCTGCCCGCCCCCAGGTTGCGCCCGGAGGAGGAGGAGGAGGAGGAGGAGGAGGAGGAGGACGAGGAGGAGGAGGGAGGAGGAGGAGGGAGGCGAGGAGGAGGAGGAGGAGGAGGAGGAGGAGGAGGAGGAGGAGGGGAGGAGGAGGAGGAGGAGGTGGAGGAGGAGGAGGAGGAGGAGGAGGAGGAGGAGGAGGTGGAGGAGGAGGAGGAGGAGGAGGAGGAGGAGGAGGAGGAGGAGGAGGAGGAGGAGGAGGAGGAGGAGGAGGAGGAGGAGGATGAAGAGGAGGAGGCCAGAGGAGGAGGAGGAGGAGGAGGCCGGAGGAGGAGGAGGAGGAGGAGGCCGGAGGCCGGAGGAGGAGAAGGAGGAGGAGGAGGAGGCCAGAGCAGGAGGCCAGAGGATGAGTCCAGAGGAGGAAGAGGAGGAGGTGGAGGCAAAGGAGGAGGAGGAGGCCAGAGGAAGAGGAGGAGGAGGAGGAGGAGGAGGAGGAGGCCAGAGGAGGAGGAGGAGGAGGAGGAGGAGGAGGAGGAAGAGGAAGAGGAAGAGGAAGAGGACGAGGAACAGGAAGAGGAAGAGGAATGATACTACTACTACTACTAATAATACTAATACTACTAATAATGATAATACAACGGAGAAGAATAATACGAAGAAGAAGACGACGCCGAATACGAAAACGACTAATACTAAGAATGACACTACTACTACTACTACTACTACTACTACTAATATTAATAAAAGTAATACTAATAAAAAGAAAAATAATAGGAATACTCATAATACGAGTACGAATAATAATAATAATCATACTATGACTACTTATAATAATAGTAAGAACATTAGTAATAACATAAGAATAATACTACGAATACTAATGCGAACAAAAAACATAATACGAATCACCATACTAATAATAATACCGAGAAGAAAAAATAAGAACAACACGAATGCGAATAAGACGAATACTACGAACAGGAAAATAATACGAATACGACGAAGAACAACAATACTATTCATACTAATAATAAGGATACTAACAATAATGATAAGAATAATAATGCTACTAATACGATTAATAATAATAAGAATAATAAGAGTACTAATACTAATAATATTATTAATAGTAATACTAATACTAATACTAATCATAATAATAATAATAATCATAATAAGAATACTAATACTAATACTAATAATAATATTGATAAAATAATCCTAATAATAATATTAAGAATAATAATATTAATAAGACTAATACTAAGAACAATAGTATTACTACGAACAATAATAATACTAATAATAATAATCATAATAAGCATAATAATAATGATAATAACAATACTACTACTACTAATAATGATAATAAACATAATAATAATATTAATAACAATAATAATATTGATAATAATGATAATAATAGTACTAGTACTACTACTAATACTACTAATAATAATAATAATGACAATGATACTGATAATGATAATGATAATGATAATAATAATGATAATAATAATAATAATAATAATAATAATAATAGTAATACTACTAATAATAGTAGTAGTATATAATAATAATAATAATAATAATAATAATAATAATAATAATAATTAATAATAATAATAATAATCAGAATAAGGTATTATTCAAAATCATGAGGAGGGAGGAGGGAGGAGGAGGAGGAGGAGAGGAGGAGGAGGAGGGGAGGAGGAGGAGGAGAGGAGGAGGAGGAGGAGGAGGAGGAGGGGAGGAGGAGAGGAGGGAGGAGGAGAGGAGGAGGAGGGAGGAGAGGAGGAGGAGGAGGAGAGGAGGAGGAGGAGGAGGAGGAGGAGGAGGAGGAGGAGGAGGAGGAGGAGGAGGAGGAGGGGGGGAGAGGAGGAGGAGGAGGAGGAGGACCAGGCCAGAGGAGGAGGCCAGAAGAGGAGGGTGGAGGAGGAGGAGGAGGAGGAGGAGGAGGAGTAGGCCTGTAGGTCTCCCAGCTCGGCGGTATGGAGAGGAGGAAGGCCGCGCCGCCAATGCGGGCGGGTCGGGGTGGTCAGCGGCGCCCCGCCTCGCAGCGCCCCTCCTCGCAGCCCCTCGGCCTGGAGCATTTCGACCTCGTCCAGACCGTCGGCACCGGCTTCCTGGGCCGCGTCAGCGTGGTGAAGATGAGGACCGGGCGTGCGATGATTTTTTTCACTGCACGTACAGAGTTACCCTTCGCCGGAGTGACCTTTGGTGCGGGCTCGTTGGGGTCCCCCGATCGCCGACCGCGATGCTGTATTAGCGTGTTGCTCGCTTGTGTTTGTTTCCCCCGCGACCCCAAAAAACCGCGCACCAACTGTTACTCTTATCCAGGGTCACTCGTGCGTGTCGCCGAATCTTCAGGGAAACCTTTGGGTTTGATATGCTCAGGGGGGGATGCATCGACCCCCAATCGCCCATTGATCGCCGTCAGGGGCTGGATAGCTCACCCCGCCCAGGGTCGTGCGCATTCACTGTCGGGGCCTTATCGCCGATCTATCGGCGATGTATTGCCGATCCCAGCTCGACGAATCGCCCCTTGAGCCAGTCTCCTCCCAACATTGCCGTTCATATCTGCCATGGAGGCAGGGCGCTCGGCGCAAAACGTATCCATATCCGCGGCCTCGCGGTCTGGACCCGGCCGCGACCCTACGGAGAACGGGGCGACTTTGCATGGATGCCCAGTGGCCGTTTTTTTCTCCTTGCGGGCGTGACCTGTGTTACCACCCCAAGCTCTTCCTCCCCCCGTAACGGGCCGCTCACAGGCATGCTGTGGTTCTCGCAGACTATGGTGGTGCTCACTTCTTACAGCTCCCGTGCGATTATGCTGGGACCGTCTGCAGTGCCCATGGGATCCCACCAGAAACCTTCTTAGAACTACGATGCGGTGCTATCGGCATCTTTTGCAGCTCGTACAGGCTCCCGCAAGGACTCCCCGCATCTCCCAAATATTCCCAGTAGGAATCCTGACAACGCCGCAAGTTGTTCTTGTTGCTCGTAGGCATATCGTGGTGCTCACCAGCACTTGCGGTGTTGGCAGGGTCCAGCATGCCTGTCTGCGTACGTGTGGCGCTCGCATGCTGTTGTGTTACGGGCAGGGTCCGTCTTCACTCGCCGCTTGATGGTCGCATTTGTTCTACGATGCTCGTAGGCATGTTGCCGTGCCCACGCGCTACCGCGAGGTCGCAGGAAAACGGGGGAGGGAGGAGGGAACGTGGGAGTGGGCAGCACCAATGAGCAGCACGACCACCACCCTCGCACCACTTGTTTTTATTTTTGGAGGCTCCTGATCACTCCGCTTTCCCCATGCTCTTGAGCAGTGGTGACGCTGGCCTGTGGTTACACAGACTGGTAATTGACACAGGTTGGTGGTGGCGCGCGTGACCTTCGATAGTGTACACAGGCTTGAGCTGCTGTGCACTCGCTCCTGTGCACGTGGTGCACACGTGCAATGCATGAAGCGTGCAGCCAGGCGCCTTCCATGTGCTTGGACTCGCAGGCGATGTTTTCACCGCCTGGTGATCACAGACACGTTGTGGCACTCACATGCGCGACTTGGCGTTGGCAGGCCTTCGCAGTCTCGAGCGCACGGTGGTGCTCGCAAGCACGCCGTGGTGTTCTGAGGCATGCTGCGGTGCTCGCGGGCTGGTGTGCTGCCCACAGGCTGCATGCTGGCGCTCGAAAGCATTTCTGTGTGCTCGCAGAGTATGGTGATACTGCCAGGGCCTGGGGCACCACTGTGCAATAGTGACATGCTCGCAAGCTTCACGTGGCATTGGCAGGGTCTGGCATCATGTGGTGCTACCGCCGCGCCGCAGACGCCGTTCCTGTCACTCCCCGCCGCTTACGCCCCCAAAGGGTAGCACGAGCTCCTCCCGCCCGAAAAGCACGCTCGCCCCCGCAGAACTCCTCCGTGGGTGCGCGCATCCACGGGGTCGCGCCTCGGTGCCCGGACCTCGAGGGGGCATGGTGCACGGACAATGTGCGTCTCCGTGAAGGGGTCCGGACGGCAAGGGCCGTCATTCCGGCGGCCAGTTTGAGGGGGGGAGGCGGGAGGGAGCGGGCCTTCTCGGAAGAGTCGTTCGACATGGGGTCGCGCAGCATTGACTGGTATAGACCGTGTGCAGTGGGCATGCTGTGCTGCCGGCAACTCTGAAGGCAGGCGCCTCCCCCGGAGAAGAGGCACCCCATCAGAATTGGTGCGCTCGGCTCGCGGGGGCAGTTACACAGAGCCTCACACAGACTTCAAACGACGTTGTTGTTGCTGTTGCTGTTGCTGTTGCTGTTGCTGTTGCTGTTGCTGTTGTTGTTGCTGTTGTTGTTGTTGTTGTTGTTGTTGTTGTTGTTGTTGTTGGTGTTGTTGTTGTTGTTGTTGCTGTTGCTGTTGCTGTTGCTGCTGTTGTTGTTGCTGCTGCTGCTGCTGTTGTTGTTGTTGTTGTTGTTGTTGTTGTTGTTGTTGTTGTTGTTGTTGTTGTTGTTGTTGTTGTTGTTGCTGCTGCTGCTGCTGCTGCTGCTGCTGTTGCTGTTGTTGTTGTTGTTGTTGAACTCTAATTACTGAAGAATAATTATTGTTGATCCCCCCTCCGGCGGACATTGTATTTTTTCAATTGAAGTGCCCCTTCCGGGGCTCGCACCCTGTTTTTTATCAGGGAAAGTCGTGGGCATCAAACTGCGTTGTTGGCCCCCCGGACAACAACAACAACGGCTCCCGCCTGATACTTCCTCCAAATTTACTCAGGACCCCCGCCCCCGCCTGGGACTTCCTTGCAGTTTACTCAGGCGGAGGCGCTCCCGCCTGAGACTTCCTCGCAAATTACTCCGGACCCCCGCCCCCGCTTGGGACTTCCTCGCAAATTACTCCGGGAGCGGCGCTCCCGCCTGGGACCTCCCTCACAACTGAGCATCAAACTGTGTTGTTGGCCCCCCGGACTACAACAACAACGGCTCCCGCCTGATACTTCCTCCACATTTACTCAGGACCCCCGCCCCCGCCTGGGACTTCCTCGCAGTTTACTCAGGCGGAGGCGCTCCCGCCTGAGACTTCCTCGCGCATTACTCCGGGAGCGGCGCTCCCGCCTGGGACCTCCCTCACAACTGAGCCCTGCTGAACTCTCAATATTGAAGAATAATTCTTCTTGATCCCTCCTCCCTCCCTCCCCCCACTCTTTTCCTCCTCGCTCTCCCTTCCTCCTTCCCCCTGCTCTTCCTGTTTTAGGGCCTTCGCCAACTACACGTGGCGAGTAAAAAAGATATACCCCCAAAGAGGTATGACCGAAGACGAAGAGGGTGGGTATCGAGGGTTTGGGATTTACATATTGAGTGACGCGCGCGCATATAAGAGCGATCAGTCTTAAGATGATTGTTGTTGTTGTTGTTGTTGTTGTTGTTGTCGTTGTCGTTGCCGTTGTCGTTGTCGTTGTCGTTGTTGTTGTTGTTGTTGTTGTTGTTGTTGTTGTTGTTGAACATTATTAATTCTAAAGAATAATTATTGTTGGGGCCCCTGGTGCACGGCCCCCCTGCGCCGCCTAGGCCGCAGCTACATTTTCATCATTTTCGTGAGGAAGCCTCAGGTAATACGATGTCATCAAGATCCGGTTGTTTTGTTGTAATCCGCTTTCCCTTGCAAAAAACACTATAAAATGACATTTCTTGTTCTAATATAATCAAATTTCAAGAATCCCTTGCAAAAAATAAGGTAAAGTGGACATTCGCGCGCGCAAGACGAAATCCTTCCAAAAGCTTAGTGTTCGGAGCGATTTTAACATAAAAACATCAAAAAACCAATGGTTTTTCAACAAAAAAATGTCAAAATCTCATCCCGCGCGCTCTTGCGGATTCGTAGGAAACCCAACACTTTTTAAACATTTCTGTCAAACGGGCTTTTGCGAGCAACTTTTTCGAACTTCTGCGACAACGGTTGCGCACCTGCCAGGGCCATCATCCCTGTCAAATAATACCATCCGCGCATTGTGCCCAGCATGGCACAATTGCACCATGCTGGGCACATGCGCGCCCCGAATAAGTGACCAAGTTCTGTGGGTGTGTACCCCACGCCAGTGTAGTAGCCACGGTCGTCCGCACGCCACGAAGTGAAGTGTCCCAACGTCATAGGGCGGGAAGCTGGGTTTGGGTGGTCGCGAAGAGTCGTTTGGATATTTGGTAGAGCTTGTAATGCCCCCCCACGAAGTGGGGGTATTGCCTGGTGTCGTATGAAAACCCTGGCACTGGGGAGAACACCACGCGTTCGGGTAAAATGATTGTTGTTGTTGTTGTTGTTGTTGTTGTTGTTGTTGAACATTATTAATTCTAAAGAATAATTATTGTTGGGCCCCTGGTGCACGGCCCCCTGCGCCGCCTAGGCCGCAGCTACATTTTCATCATTTTCGTGAGGAAGCCTCAGGTAAGATGTGATCAAGATCCGGTTGTTTTGTTGTAATCCGCTTTCCCTTGCAAAAAACAATATAAAATGACATTTCTTGTTCTAATATAATCAAATTTCAAGAATCCCTTGCAAAAAATAAGGTAAAGTGGACATTCGCGCGCGCAAGACGAAATCCTTCCAAAAGCTTAGTGTTCGGAGCGATTTTAACATAAAAACATCAAAAAACCAATGGTTTTTCAACAAAAAAATGTCAAAATCTCATCCCGCGCGCTCTTGCGGATTCGTAGGAAACCCAACACTTTTTAAACATTTCTGTCAAACGGGCTTTTGCGAGCAACTTTTTCGAACTTCTGCGACAACGGTTGCGCACCTGCCAGGGCCATCATCCCTGTCAAATAATACCATGCGGGACACATTCGTTTTTTGCGCGCGCACGCCGAAATCTCCAAAAACCATTGGGTCCTCGAAAAACACCTGCACGTCTTCCCTTGCGAGTACGTATCATGTGTATCATGTGTATCATGTACCATATGCATCATATGCAACAGATGTTCTGTGGAAGGCTTAACAACTTCTGTGGGTTAACAAGGCTTAACAACGTCTGTGGGTGTACGAACGTAGGCTTAACAACTTCTGTGGGTGTGTACTCCACGCCAGTGTAGTAGCCACGGTCGTCCGCAGGCCACGAAGTGAAGTGTCCGAACGTCATAGGGCGGGAAGCTGGGTGTGGGTGGTGGCGAAGAGTCGTGTGGATATTTGGTAGAGCT